TCCTCCAGGTGAACTTGGGAAGGAAAAATAGATATTGAGCTGCTTTGGGATGGCTTCTGTGCATTGTGCTCGTGTGGATGAGAGGATGTTGGAGCACTGCCTCCCCCTCTGGTGTCCCCAACATAAGAAGGACATGGAGCTGTTGAAGCAAGTCCAGAGGAGGCCCATGAGGATGCTCAGGGGCTGGAGCAGCTCCTGTATGGAGCCAGGCTGAGAACACTGGGGCTGGAGAAGAGAAGCTGCGTGGAGACCTCAGAGCAGCTTCCAGTGTCTGAAGGGGGCTACAAGGATGCTGGAGAGGGGCTCTGCATCAGGGACTGTAGGGATGGGACAAGGGGTGATGGGTTCAGACTGAAACAGGGGAGTTCAGTTTGGAGATAAGGAAGAAGTGATTTATGTGAGGGTGCTGAGGCGCTGGCACAGGGTGCCCAGAGAAGCTGTGGCTGCCCCATCCCTGGCAGTGCTCAAGGCCAGGTTGGACACAGGGGCTTGGAGCAAGCTGTTCTAGTGGAAGGGGTCCCTGCCTGTGGCAGGGGTTGGAACTGGGTGAGATCTAACCTCCCTTCCAACCCAAACCAGGCTGGGATTCTGTGATTGCTCTCAGCTGGGAGACACTTGGCTGATTTGCTTTTTCCTTGTGGAGTTTTTGCCTCCATTTTCTGCAGCCTCCTGTGGGCAAAAACTTTTCTCTTTCCACTATGGAAACAAACCAGTCTCTAATTTCAGATGCGTTCCAACCCTTTGCTCTTATCCCCATTTATCTTTCTCTTAATGTTCCCACTTTCCAGACTATTTAATGAATTGATCAGGACCCAGAGAAATGACTAATATTTTTTCAGCTCTAAAACCAATGTGCTGTAAGAGTTACAGGAGATCCCAGGTGATGGATGGTACAGATGTGACAGGATTATTTATTGTCTTTTTGCTTCAAGGGATGGTTATGAGGGAAACATGTTGTCTACTGCTGAGGAAAAACCCAGAGGCTGAAGCTGGTCTTGTCCTTCTCCATCCCATCTTGTACATTGAAAGGAGCCATAAACCTGCCCTGTTTAACTGGGTTTATAAGGGAATAAACCTTATTTGTATGGCTCAGTAGTCAAGGAGGGTGAAGGGTTAGTACAAAGATGCAGTTGGCACTGGAAGTGCTCTGATTGCCACCGTGCCCCTCATCAGTACCTGCTCTGCAAATAGCTCTTCACCATGGCTTATCCTCTAACTGTAGCCACCGCAGTGTAGCACCGTGAAGGGACCGTCAGTTGAAATCAGAGCAATGTGCTTGCCATCTGGTGCTGATGAAAGTGCTTTTTCCTTCCCTTCTCCTAAAGTTTTAAAGTGTATTTTTTTAATTCCCTTCCAGCCTGCAGGGAAATGGGAAATAAACTGCAGCAATATCTCAAGTCCAGCAAGAGCCTGGACCTCTGCCTCTGTCTTCGCAATGCTCATGGTGACGTCCGACTAATCCACATCCCTCTGTCAGGGCTGATGTGGGAAGTTGTGAGATGGATGTGACCAATAACAAGTTTAACAATGAGCCTGTTGCTTTGGCAGAAGGTTTAACCTGGTATTGTCCTCTCCTGTCTGGTGGCCAGGTTTGGAAGTTCGGATGACGGCATCCCTTTGGAGAAAGACCTTCAGAAAGGGTTTGCTTGACCATAGTGCTTTTAACACTCATCTTTTGCAGGTGATCGGCCTCGTGATGGCTTGGCTGTATTGGCAAAAGCTCAACGAGATCTACTCCAAGCTGGACACTGTTGACTTCAAGATCCTGGAGATGCGGGATTTCAGCTTTGGGGCTGTGGATCTGAGTGGTGCGGGCTGGTGCTGGTGCTTGCCCAAGGAAGGGGGCTACATTCCCATCAACGCTGAGGATGAGGATGAGGAGGAGGAGGAAGGCACCATCTGCCAAAGCAAAGTGTAAGAAGGTGGAGGACTTGGAGCACGGCTCTTAGGAAGGTGGTGGATGTTGAACATGGACATCATGTAATTTATCTTCTCAGGTCCAGGAGACAGTAACACTGGGATGTTACCACAACTGCGATGCACTGTGTGGGCACATGGGCTCCCCAGGGTCCTTTCACTTCCTTCCCCTTTTGAAGCATTTCTCTAGCTCCTTTTTGGGTTTTTAGGGTTTTTTTTACACAATAAATGTAACTTGTGTTGTGTTTTGCAAAGTCACTTCCACTCAATGCACGCTGGCCCAGCCATGGGGTGGGAAGTGGCACCATCATTGTTGCACTTTGGGCTGTCTTTGTAGGTATATTTAACCTGATCACCTGAAAAATAGGAATCACGTCCCTAGGGAGGCACAACTTGCACCTCCTGGAGCAAGATGGATATTTGGGCAAGGCTGCCCCAAGGGAAAACACCAGTTTCTGAAGGTCTCCAGCTCTTCCTTTTGAGCCCTGGCTTAAGGTTTTATCCCCAGGCAAGGAAAAGGAGAGCTCAGGGACTTCCAGAGGGAGGATGGATTTCCTGTTGGAATGTGCTGTGACTCCCGCCTGCTGGCGACCAGCATTTAATGACCAGGTAAGGAATCGCCTTTTGTAGAATTTTTAGCACAACTTGATGGTCAAGGTGGCAATTCCCTCCCCCATCGCTAAGGATATAGGAATTAAATAGGGATTGGGTCCTCTCGCTGGACGTCAGAGAGGGGCTTTTCATCAGGGACTGTAGGGATAGGACAAGGGGTGATGGGTTCAGGCTGAAACAGGGGGAGTTCAGGTTGGAGATAAGGAAGAAGTGATTTATGTGAGGGTGCTGAGGCGCTGGCACAGGGTGCCCAGAGAAGCTGTGGCTGCCCCATCCCTGGCAGTGTTCAAGGCCAGGTTGGACACAGGGGCTTGGAGCAAGCTGCTCCAGTGGAAGGGGTCCATGCCAATGGCAGGGGTTGGAGCTAGAGGAGCTTTAAGGTCCCTTCCAACCAAAACCATTCTGGGATTCTATAAACAGCTGGAGCGCACTGCATCCAAGTCTGGATGGGTGAGTTGAGCCGCAATGGGACACAGGCTCACGGAGGGAGACTTTAAAGAGATGAATTGCAAAATGATGAGTGTGGGTTTATTAAGAAGAAGAAGAAACAGATCTGTTTCCCAAGAGCTGAGTGTCTGCTGCGCCGCTGGCAAAGGGAATGCTGCATTTACTAGTGGAGCTTTTATTAAGGCTATTTTGGAAGCCGAAGGCTGGCTTTAGTTGGATGCCCTGCGTCTGCCGGGCTCTGTCTCCCTCTTCTGACTGGTTCCAGGCTTTACTCTTTAAACATGAAGCAATCAGGAGCACACGCCTGAAAAGAACACTTTCTGAACCTTCTTTTCCCCCAAATCCCCTTGGAAACGGAGCTGGGAACCCCAGAAGCTAAGCAGGGGGGTCAGTAGGGTTCAGCTCCTGGGATTTTGCTTTTCTTCCTTTCCCTTCCTCTCTCCAGGATGTGTTTAATAAAACCTTCTTCCTACAAGCTGATAAACTCAACCTGCTCTTTGCATTTCTATGTATTTGGAGGAAGAAAGTTAACTTCTATGTTTGCTCTTTATTTACGGGACAAACAGCCACCAACATCTTTAAACCCTTTTCCTGGCTGATGCTGGACCCCAGGAAGGGCAGCATTGCACGGGTTGGATGCAAGCAGGTTTTCATTGTAGATTAATGCTGTTTTTTAGCAGGCAATAAGCAATGGGAAATAGAGAGAAGTGAGGGATTGGAACGGGCTGCCTGGAGCAGTGCTGGAGTCACCATCCCTGGAAGTGTTCACTCACCGTGTAGACAAGGCCCTCAGTGCCATGGGTTAGTGGTGGCCTTGGAAGTGCTGGGGAATAGTTGGACTGGATGAGCTTAAAGGGCTTTTCCAACCTAAGTGATTCTGTGATTCCATGATTTAGGCACCTGGCTCCCCTATTCCCACAAACGGTTGGTTGCTAATGCCTGAGAATAGGAAAGATTAAGCAAGAGCATGAAATCATAAGCATTCTTTGGAAAAGCTTTTCTCCTACTTACAAACATGCCTTGCTACTCTAAATAAAGGGGATGCCAATAGCATTCCTTACTTCATCCTAAATTCTGCATCTTGAAATCACTTCTCCCTTGTTCCAGACCTGCTACACATGGAAGACCAGATCTAATAATACAGGAGCTTGGGAAGCAAATGAGAGCAGGGATAAAGCATCAAACAGGTTTTGCTTTGCTTCTGCTGAGACGGGATTGTGCCATCGAATAATCCCCTGGAGGTGAGAGAAAAGCCCTGATATGGAATGACCTCAAAGCACAAAGTCTGATTTCCAAGTTCTCCTTCCATTAACAATGAAGCCAGCCCTGATAAAGGGCTGGATGCTGCTTTCATGCAGATCTATTGATACCCCCATTAAGAGGCTAAGCAGGGGTGAACAAGCCAGGCGTTAAATAGAAGCGGACAGCTTGGGTAGCACAGTGGGCATGCTCATGGGACCAGGAGCTGGATTTTCATGAAATCCAATTTTAGGATGTTTAACATGCTAAAACCAAACTGTGGAAATGGCAAAATAATTCGGTGTGCAAACCACATCAAAAAAAGAACCCAAACTGTATTTGATGGGCTGGTTCATCTTGGAGAAGAGAAGGCTTTGGGGAGGCCTTAGAGCAGCTCCCAGTGCCTAAAGGGGCTACGGGAACCCTGGAGAGGGTCTTTGGACAAGCGCCTGTAGGGACAGGACAAGAGCAAGCTGCTCTAGTGGAAGGTGTCCCTGCCCATGGCACGGGGTTGGAACTGGATGAACTTTAAGGTCCTTTCCAACCTAAACCATTTGTTGATCCTATGGCCATAGGGCTGATCCTATCATCCCCAGGGGCTTCAGAAGCTTTCTTGCTGCTGGTGATGACTCTCTGTAAGTCCCTGATCTTCTGTTTAAGATCAGATGTCCATGAGCACAAAGAAAACAAAGAGAAACGTTTTCCCTCCCAAATCCCAGCAATCAGGGCAAAACTGATAGAAAAAAACCCCAAAGGACACAGGCCCTGCAAGCTGGGGATGGACACCTTGAATTTCCTACATCTATATCTAGAGACCACAACTGCGCAAGACCAGCTCTCCCTGGCTTGGATGTTCCTTCCTCTCCAGAAGTTTATCTGCATCCCATGATGCCTTTCCACTCCCAAAATCAATTGGTGCCACCCCAAATCCATTTTAACCTGGGAGCTACAGAGGGGTTGGCAGTGGGTGTCGATACAATGGTGGCGAGAGCAGCTTTATCTCGAGGCAATCTGGGCTCCCGCACCCCCGAGTGCCTGTGACTTCACTGCACGGCTCCATCCACTGGTTTCTGAGCGTGTTTGGAGAGCTCAGGGTGAGTTTATTAATGGTAAAACTTGTTTATTAATGGTAAAACTTGTTTATTAATGGTAAAACTTGTTTATTAATGGTAAAACTTGTTTATTAATGGTAAAACTTGGTTTTGTGGAACTGAGTGCTGGTGGGAGTAGCGGGATTTCATTGGCAAATGTAACCGTGCTCTTCTTTTCCTCCCCTTATTTCTACTGTGCTTAGAGTTGCTTTTTCCAGCACTTCTTATCTGCACTGTACTTGTGTTTGTATGCAGTATTTGGGGGGGACAAAAAAGCTTTCTATGTAAAAGATCAGAGGGAAGAACTCCCAGGCTACATGACCCTCATCAATCAGCCATAATCATTCAGGACCTTTTATTTATCAGTGGCTCTAACAAAGCCTGGGTTTAGCAGATGGGTTGGTTTTGCTGCTCGGTGGAGCTCTGTGGTAGAGCTCTTGATGGCCAAGCTGCATTGAAAAAGTCCTTTTTCTTCCCAATCCATCTGGAAACCCCAACCTAGCGCTGAAGCTGGTGGAGAAACCTCATAGGGAGGTTCCTAATACTCCATCTGTTAGAAGAAGAACTACTTCTGCCTGCGGCTGGGTGGCTATTGTGCTGTTTCTCCTGCCAGCACCAGCTTCCTAAACCCCTCAGAATTAGCCTGATAATGTTATTCCCAGGAAGCCAGGGTTTGTGGTTGATATTATCCCACAGGTTTGGGGCAGGATTTGTCCATCTGGAAGTGTTTGCCCCTAAAACAAATTGGTCCCTGCACCTGTGCAAAAAGCGTTGGGTTCATGTGGTCAAACAAAGAAAAATAAACCCCAAATCTGTTAAATCAATCTTCAAATAGCAACTGGGATAAGGCTGGAGCCTGTATCAGGCTAAAGATGGCCTTTGCCTACTGGGGAATGGGTCAGTAATTTAGCAGCTCCAGCAGAGCCAACCTGGCCAGTTCTGGATACTTCCAGCTTTTCCATTCGCTTTATGTTTTTAACCTATTTGGCTTGAGTTGGGATTTCTCTTCCCTCAAATAGATGGATAATGATATGATATTGCCATGGATGCAAGCAGCTGGACCAGGGGACATGGAGAGGCTGGCTCTCCGACCGCTCTCAAAGTGACTTTGGGAGGCATTGATTGGGCTGCCATGAACAGTAACCGTTCTCCTATCCAAGTCATGTGTGAAAGGCAATCACTGGAGGTCAGATAATTAGGAGATTAATGAGCAAATTCCAAAGAAACCCATCTGGGGAATAAATCAGCAGGTTTGAAGGGAGGTACCTGGAAGCAGCAGCGTGTGAATGGTGTAAAAGCTGCGCTTAGGTGAGGAAAAATGAACTTTGCATCTGCAAAACCCCTTTTATCTGTGCAGGTTCCCCCCAGACCTAATTGGGTGTTTGTAGGCAGCAAGAACCCCTGTGAATGGAGCTGCTGTGCTTGTACCAGCAAATCTCTGCAGTAATCTCTTACACTTCACTTACACCTTGCTTCAGCAGCAGGAATAAGAGGCTGGAGATGTAACCCTGGTGAAATTCATCCGGATAATTGGGGAGAGTGGAGGTGGAGCAGGGGCAGGGCTGGCACAGAGCAAGGCAGGACTGAGACCTCATCAAGGGTGCTTGCAGGAGGTGCTGAAGGATCCCTGGTGCATCCTCACCCCATCCCAGAAGGACACTGGTGCCATGGGTGAAGGGTTCCCATAGCAGAGAGCACCAAGTGGGTGTGCAGAGGCTATTACCCTGCCCAGCACCCTTTATAATCTCTCTCCTTTCTCCTCTCCATGGCTCAGCTCTCTCCGAGTGGTGGGACCATGCTGGAGGATGAGGATGGGATGAGTGAGAGGGGCCTCAGCAGCTCGAGGAGGAGATACGACGATGAGGAAGGTGAGCAAAAACCCTTGGGGATGCTCCAAATGGCAGCGGGGTCTTCCCTGCTGGCTGATGCTTCAGATCTCCCGGCGCTTGGCTCAGCACATCCCATGGGATGCTCTAAACCTGGTGGGAAGAAGGCAAACATCTCCGTGGCTTTTATTCTTTCTTGCAAGTGAGAATGACACAGACGCACCCTCTAAAGCTTCGCTCCCCTCCCCAGATTACCACTCCATCTACATCGGGGTGCCAGTGCCCCGGGGCTACCGGAGGAAACGGCGCCGGAGAAGATCAGCTTCCAGCCGGGATAGGACGAGTGAGAGTGAGCGGCACTACGAGCGCCAGGATCACTCCGACACCGACGACGGCGGCCACGGCTGCTATGAGAGTGGCAATGACAATGCCAGCAGGACCAGTGAGTGGTCATTGAGCTTCCCAAAACAGCAAGAGGGCTTTGGCAGCATCACTTAATCTGGGATTAAATCACCCTCCATGCGCTTCCCAAGTTTATTTTTCCCTGTGAATGTCTCTGAGAACAGGGTGTAAAATGGGACTTCAGGCTGCTTAGGTGATGGGTGGGCTATAAAGAGGTTGTCCTTGCCCTCAGGAGGCTGTGCTTGACCCTGGGAGATTGCTAAGGAGGAAACGGGGTGATGGCAGGGTCCTGGGGTGCAGACATCCTTTGGGCATCACTCCTTGTTCCCAACAGGCTTTTACTGGGGCTTTGCCTGCTCTCCTTAAATCTCCTTAGCAAAGATTAACATTTTGCACAGCAAAGGAGCTGGGTTTTTATTTGCCCCCCCTATAGAAATTTGCATTTGGGTTTATATCAAGCAGACCACGTCACGGCTCAGCAGCGCGGGAAGGGGCTCAGCGTGGCTTATCCCTATGGAAGGAAAAGTTCCCTTATTGCCTTTCATTGTGGAGCAAGCAGGACCATGTCACCTCCTTTCCACAATAAATGCCACTGGGATATAACACTGGGCTGGTTTGGGGAGGGAAAAGTCATTTTATGGAGGGAAAAGAGCCCAGAAAGCCTTAACTCTGCATCAGCCACGTTTTCCTTTTGGAAATGTTCCTCATTTGGGTGTTTTTGCCTGCCCTGAGCTTGGAGGGGGTTTTCCCACCTGGCTCTGGGTGGGAAACAAAGCCCTTCCACAGAATAACCCCAACCCTTTGATTTCTGTCCTCCCACCTTTCCCTCCCTCCCCTTTCTCGCTCGCTCCATCCCGCTGCCACTCACCTCTCCTACACGCATCCCGTTTGATTTGGTAACTTCCCGTCATGAGAGCTAAAGGGAAAGGAAAGTGCTTTATATTCTCTATAATCTGCTCCTTAAGCCTTGGGAGTTTAACAAGCCTGAGTGGATAAAGGAGGAAGTTTGGGGGGTTGTGGTTTTTTTGTACTGAAGGTTTGGTTGAGCTGGGAAGAAATGGGAGAAAAGATGGAAACGATTCCAGGTAGGTGATTTCCATGGCTCTTTGGTGTCTGCAATGGGGTAGCTGGAGAGGAGGAAAAGCTCCTGGGTTTATTTGGCTTTGCTTTTCCTTTGCAAAATCAACTTGGGAGCCACCATGGGCTTGGGGTGAGCATTTGCTTGGGGCACCAAGCTCCTAAGCTCACCCCCAATATAAGGTGGGGGACACATGGGTCTGTGTCATCTTCCACTGCTCTGCAGCAGTGGGAAAGCAGAGAAATGGCTATTTGGAAGGAGAAAAATCTCCCAGAGCTGGGCTTTTCTTGAACAGGAATGGAGCATCTAATCCCATGGGATGTGCACCTCAGTCTTCTCTATCTTGGGGGGGAAGGTACCATTCTAATCCATGAAACCCCAGGAAAAGGCTGTTGTGTGTTCAGAAGGACCATGACAGTGGATGGTTCATATGCCAGAGCCTTAAATAAGGCTTAGTCCCACTGCACAGCTGGATTGCAAGCCCCTGGAGGCACCAGGTTCATCCATCCCCTATTTTATCACCTTTTTAGTTATACCTAAAACCAGAACAGGAATTCTGGCTTGGAAAAGCATCGCTAGGTGAGGTTTTACCGCTGGATCATAGTTGGGGTGTGAAGGGCTCTGTGAACCTCACATTAAAGAGGGTATAAATCAGTGTGACTGGTCTGTCCTGTCTGATTATCTATGGAAATGTAGGTTCTTGTATATGTAAAATTATCCCATATTGAGGCTAAGCTGGATGTGGCTCTGGCAACCTGGTCTAGTTGAAGATGTCCCTGCTCACTGCAGGGCATTGGAAAGTTCCTTCCAACCCAAACCATTCTATGATGCTCACCACTGTGAATGCCAGCCTAATTCTGCATCTGTGGGCTCAATTCTGATCCACTGCGTCTGAAATCACAGAGGAGGTTTGATTTCAAACAGCTGGGGGTGTTTTCCCATTGCAAAAGCTGGTTCAAGGAGGCACAGATCTGCTCTGGGCACCTGTTGAACTGTATCTTGCAAGAAATAGGTGCAGATTTTGGGGTGGCCTTGTGGGTTTTAGCCAGCGTCACTGCATCTGAAAGGTGCTCACTGCAGGAGGTTGGAACTGGATGAGCTTTAAGGTCCCTTCCAACCCAAACCATTAGATGGTTCTATGATCAGTGGTAGCCTTGTGTTCCCCAGAGGTACCAAGCCCTGGATGCTGTTGTTCAGTGTATATTCCCCAGCTGCTTTCCAGGATTGGTTTAGGTGCTGAATCAAATTCCCAGGAGGAAAAAGCAGGAGGTTGATGCTGTCCCAGGCACGAAAGGGTCCTGCAGGTGAATAAAGCCCATGAATTCTGGCTGCGTGGCCAAGCCCCGGCATTGTTGGTTTAGCAACCGGCTCTTTGCTCGGGTCAGTGAGCGGTGGGAAGCCGTCAGGAAGCTCATGTTCTGTGTTGAGAGGTGGGTTTATTCCTTAAACGGGGGGAGAGTGGGGGAAAAGCTCCCCAAAAACGCCTTAGAAAGCTCTTTCTGTGCAAATTTGCCTTTGCCTTTAGTGATTTCCAGGGGTTGAAGTGTGACAGAGCCTCAACACCCCAATACAAGATGCTTGGGGAACCCTCTGGCAGGTTGATGCAGGAAAAGAGACCCTTTTAAGCACTGAAGGTGGGAATTTGGGCAGAGTTGGGAGCAGCCACCACCAAGCCAAAGATTTACCAAGCTCCAACCCTTCGCCCTCCCCTGCTGCAAAACCACGAGTCCCCCTTTTTGAACAAATCCATCCAGAGATTCCAACCAAAACAGTAAATTTGCAGTAAATTTCCAGTAAATTCCCTTATTTCTACCATTTTCCATGGTCTGACTCGTGTTTTTGCTGTGATTTTTGCAGGATATGTCAGTTTTGGGCTGCAGAGCACAGCGTGAGGCTGGGGTGAGGGGTTGCCAGCACCACACTGATTTCATCCCCTCTTACGGGAACAGCACTTTAGGCTTAAAGAGCCTGAAGCCCTCCAGGCACGTAGCCCAGCTCTAAAATTAACAGGAATATTAATAATCATAATAATGAAGCTTATGGAAGTGGAAGGAGGAACTTGACAACAGGGCTTTAGTCCTGGTGGTGGGGTTTAAAGGGCTTAAGCAGTTAAGCAGGCTCAGCCTAGAGCAAGGGACATCCTATTCTTTCATGGCCACTGCGGCTTGGTTCTTGTCTCCTTTGATGGGGAGAAAAGGCAATGTTCCCATTTCCTCCCTCCTCTCATGCATGGCAATTTAATTACCTGTTTTTTTAGGTACTGTATTACCCACCTTTCTTATTCCCAGATTTGAGAACAGAAGGATCCTACTAACAATGACATTTCCAAGCTGGATTAATTCCTACTGTATTAGGAGAGGGATAAGATCCAAGATTTGATTAAATATACACCATTTCCATGAAGCCTGGCACAGGGCTGGGTTTAACCTCTTGTATGGATAACAGGGCAACTGGAGAGTGGATGAATCCATGCCACTTCCAGGTTCATTCATATCCCAGTGTTTAATTCCTCCCTGCAACCAAAATGATGAGGCTTTACTAGAGAAGCACCTGGAGATGGAGAGGGTTAAAGGAAAACCCAGCCTGCCTTTGTCATCAGGAGGAGAGGGCAGATCCATCACCCTTCCATGGCCACTGGATGGGTGCAGTCCATGGGGAATGCTCCAAAGATGAAAGCCCCTTTTCCCATCAATTGGGAGCTTTGCCAGGAGGCAACGTGTTGCTGCTCCCCTTCCTTAACATACCACAGGAGGCAACAAGTGGCCTTCCCTGCTTGGTGGGTTATTTACAGCAAGAAGCTGGATTTTTCTTGCAGAAATGGTATATTTTTATTATTCCTCTCAAAAGATACAAGTTCCCCTTGGGAATCCAGTGGGAAAATGTGTTCTGAGCACTTGTGCATCCCACTATACAGTGCTGGAGACAATATTACTGATAGCAGACAGCTCGAACCTGGCCAAATCAGGCTCTGTGGAAGGGAAAAAGTATGGGATACCCATGGAAACAGGGCACATAATGCTTCTGGAGGGGAATTTGACTATGTTGTATATAGGGCTGGCCACATTCCTTAATTCCCAGCTCAGACCTATGGATTCTTCCACACAGCCTTCGCTCATCCTTTCACCAGCATCCCGTATCTCTTTGCACAGGGATTTTGGGAGAGGATTACCCAGAATTCCCTCAGTCCTCAATGTCTCTCACTTTAAACATTTTCCTCAAAACCTCCTTTTTCCACCCCAGGATGTTAACTAGACCCGCAGATCCCTCTTTACCCACCCTGGGGCTTTCCATATGGGAATGGTGCAGGATCATCTCGCCTCCGGTCGATGGTAAAACCTCTTTTCCCCACCCCTGGTAGTGTCTCCGGCTGCCGAGCGCCTCCGTTACATCCTGGGGGAAGATGATGAACCTCCCAACCCCACGCTCTTCACAGAGATGGACACCCTGCAGCACGACGGTGAGGAGATGGAGTGGAAAGAGTCGGCCAGGTGAGATGCTTTGGGTTGGAAATGTGTTTGGGAAAGGTCTCCTAAAGATCCCTGCATGGAAGAAGGGTCTGGGAATGAGCATGGCTCTTAAAGAGGTTAAAAAAGCTATGCCTGGGTTAGGCAAATGCATAAAACAAGGTGTTTTGTGAGCTTAGCATGGCAGAGGAGAAAGGGAGGAAAGGAGGAATATTTCATATCTCATCCCATATCTCCCAGGTTGGATCAACCGTGGAGCTGGAGCTTTTCCCATTCTCAGTCATAGCATGAGAGCAAAGCCCTGCAGAAAGGGCTGGGAAGGTATAGAAAGGAGGGCTTTACACCTCCAGTATATATCTCCAGTTGGGAAACTGGAGAACTAGAGCAAAGAGCTGGGAAATGGGAAGAGGGGATATAAGGGACATTTTCCCAGGTCTTTTTTCCCCCCCACACTTGGCCAGGTCAGGGTTTAAACTTCTGCTCCTCAAGCAATCATAATAAACCCCACCTACATCTTTAATAGAAGTAGTAGAGTAGTTGCAAGTGGTGTTCACTTTATGGAATTAGGGGTTTATCCAAGGGGAAAATCTCAAATCCAAGTGGGATTTTCTCTTCCTAGACTCAGATGTGTAAGGGCTGGTAAGGCTGGGGGATTTTGGAGAGATTTGGGATGGGTTTCAGGGATGCTGATGGTATCCCCAACCCTTTCCAAGCACATGTAGGATTTGTAGGTGTAAAAGTTCACCTGAGGAATGAGGAGAGAGCAGGATCAGGCCCTGTGGGTGCTCATCCTATCTCTTGGGCTGGTTATTTGCATCCTTTGCAGGTTGGAATTGTATAATCTTAAGGTCCTTTCCAATCCAAACCATAACATGATTCTGTGATCATCAAATATGTGGAAAGCTCTCAAGCATCCTTCTCCTTGTGTTGGGGTTTTCATCAGGGAGGGATTGAGATGGAGGTTTCCAAATTCCCAGTGGGAGGATGGAGGTTTCTCAAGTCCTGGATTTATGCTTTCCAGTGAGGAATGGTTCAGCCGTTTTAGCCCCAGGAGAGCAGCTCCTTGCTGGGCTAAATCCACAATAAATGCCAATAAATGGAAACCAAGAAGTTGAGCACAGCAGGGAGATGGAGTTTTGCTTTGGAGAAAGGATCATGGGATGCTGATCCCAAGGCAAAGGTGCTGCTGGAAACGTGCCTCGAGTCCCGCACACCGGCCCAAGTACCTACCCCATGTGCTCACCACTGGCACTAAAGCCAAATGTTATACTTCTGGGCATGCTGGGGTTTTGTCCTCAGCACAAACTATTCCTAACACTCCTAGATAATCATTTGGGCCCTTTTTAGTAGGGACACCCAGGATTTTCTCTTTGCTGCAGCATTTTAATGCACCCCACTGTAAGCTGATACAATTCTGGGTTCTCCCCATCCTCCCTCTGCAGCTTTCATGAGCCATCAGCTATTCCCAAACCCCTTCTCCTCGTACATCATTTCCATCTGTGGCAGCCAGAGCCAAAGTCCCACTTGTACCAGTTAAAAGTTGTAAGGTTAAGCCCTGTGGAGGCTTAATCCATGAAGCCTGCAAACCTTCTGTAAAGGAAAAGCAGCTTTAGTCCCCAAACTGATGTCTTGCTCTGAAGTCTTTGGTTTGTAAAGTTAAGGAATATAGGTGGAAGGGCTGAATTCCAAGGGCTTGCAAACCCTTCATTCATGGGAATGAAGCCTGAGCGTTGCTAAAGGGTCATAAAGCCATTTGTACTGCCCTGTGTGCATGGCTGGTCCGTGTGGATGCAGAACCTGGCTCCAAGGGAAAACCTCTCCCATCTCACAGGAGCCATTTGAGGAGGGTTGAGGTCAGTGGTGGAGCTGAGAGGTTTTACTCCTCTCTGTAAGCATATCTAATGATGTTACTTGGTTTCTCCATTCCCATCCTGAATAACAAGCAAAACCTTTGCAGGATGAACAAACCCAGGTCTGCAAAGCTGCAGAAGGGAGACTCCACAGGAAAAGCAATTCTCTTGTTCCCTTCTCACACACCATCCCGTGCCCAACCTCTCATTTCAGGTGGATAAAGTTTGAAGAGAAGGTGGAGGAAGGTGGGGAGAGGTGGAGCAAGCCCCACGTGTCCACGTTGTCCTTGCACAGCCTGTTTGAGCTGCGGACGTGCCTACAGACAGGAACGGTGCTCCTGGACTTAGATGGCTACTCTTTGCCCCAAATCATAGGTAGGATCCAGCAGATATTAATGGTTTCAGATGGCTTTTCCCCCATGTTTTTAAGTGCTGGGAACAGATCTAAATGCATGTGCTTGCATGGGATAGAGCAATGACAGGAGGTGAGAGCCACCAACTTGGGTCAGTGTTGTCTTGAGCTTTCTAGGAGGGTTTGCAGTGTGGTAACCCATGTGCCCCTCTTATTTGGTGCTTGCAGACGATGTCATTGAGAAGCAGATCGAGGATGGTCTGCTCAAGCCAGAGCTGCGGGATAAGATAAGCTATGTGCTCCTCAGGAAGCACCGTCACCAAACCAAGAAGCCAATCCACCGGTCCTTGGCCGACATTGGAAAGTCCGTCTCCTCCAACACAAGTGAGTCCCTGTGGTCCAGTGTTGGTGGCATCCTTGAGTCTTTAGTAAGACAGCTTGGAGGGAGGAAGATCTCAGAAGGAACTGGGGAAACCCAATAATTGAGGGCACCCAGCATGGAGAAAGACCCCAAAAAGCAAGTGCAGAGGAGGCCACGAGGATAAGGAGGTTGGAGCACCTCCCATATGGAGACAGGCTGAGAATGCTGGGGGTGGAGAAGAGAAGCTTAGAGCAGCTTCCAGTATCTGAAGGGGGCTACAAAGATGCAGGAGAGAGACTCTTCATCAGGGACTGTAGCGATAAGACAAGGGGTGATGGGTTCAAACTGAAACAGGGGAAGGTCAAGTTAGATCTAAGGCAGAAGCTCTTCCCTATGAGGGTGCTGAGGCGCTGGCACAGGGTGCCCAGAGAAGCTGTGGCTGCCCCATCCCTGGCAGTGTTCAAGGCCAGGTTGGACACAGGGGCTTGGAGCAAGCTGCTCCAGTGGAAGGGGTCCCTGCCCATGGCAGGGGTTGGAACTGGATGGTCTTAAGGTCCTTTCCAACCCAAACCATCCCGTGATTCTATGAATACTCTGTCACTGGTGGCTTTAAGGGTAAGGGGTAGCCAGAAGCCAAAGAGATGTCTGCTGAGATGGACACGGGCGTTGTGTGAGGGACAATGGCATTGGCGGTCACTTGGCCAAGAGGTTTTCTGGCACAGCAGCCTACAGAAAAATCCCGTCTGGGCTGGGGTTGAACCTATTTTTGAGCCATTATAAAAGGGGATTTGTTTGTTTTCAGGCTAGATTATTTACTTAGGTTTAAACTGAGGTCATCTGGTGGAGCCTGGGATTTGCCAGGCTTCAGCTGCTCCTTGGGTAGACAGGAGCCGTGGCACCCACAAAGTGCACATGGAAGAGGCCATCAAGAAGCAATATTCCCACCCCACGGACATCCCCAGGTTTCAAAGCAGCCATCATCCACATTGGAGGACTAGATATTTGGGCTAATATTTGCCCACAAGCCTTCAAAACGGAGCATGACTTGGAAATGTTGTGGTTAGTCCCTGTAGATAGGAAAAATACGGACATTGTCTGTATTTCTAGTTGCTTGCTGGGATGCTGCATCACTTGGAGTTTGCAAATAGGGCCACCAAAGACAGGGTGGTCATGGGCAGAAGCAGAAAGCTCCCTTACATTTGCTATGCCATCGGCAGCTCCATGATATATGGGCATATATATATATATACGTTCCAGTACCACTGGAACGTTGAATCAGGGCCATGCCCAGTGGGAATTTCATCATTACTTTACTGAGGATAGACAAATTTCAAATGTAGTTTTTTGGGGGGGAGAATTATTGGATAAAAAAGTCAAATAAGTGTTGGGTCGTCCTAAATAACAGAATTTTACTTCTGAACCCGTTCATACCCTCAAAAAGAGTACTGATCAGGTGTGTGGTGGTGCACAGAGCCTCTGCAGTGGGAAGGCTTAGGTGAGGGCAGTTTGCTCTTTGCTAATGAGATAAGACAAAGGGGAATGGCTTGAACCTGCCCGAGGGGAGACTGAGCTGAGCTCTTAGGCAGAAGCTCTTCCCTGTGAGGGTGCTGAGGCGCTGGCACAGGGTGCCCAGAGAAGCTGTGGCTGCCCCATCCCTGGCAGTGCTCAAGGCCAGGTTGGACACAGGGGCTTGGAGCAAGCTGCTCCAGTGGAAGGGGTCCCTGCCTGTGGCAGGGGTTGGAGCTGGGTGAGCTTTGAGATCCCTTCCAACCCAAACCAGGCTGGAATCCTATGGGTGAGATTAAAGTGCAAATGTGAGTAAAAGGGAAAAGCAAATTGCTGATGTATCAGAGCTGGAAGGGTCCAGTCTGTGCTGGGCAGCTGACTTCCAGCCTGCCCTCCCGCCTTTAGCATCACTCAATGGTTCCCTATGGGACCTGCATCTCCTCTAAGTGCTCCTTTCCCACAGCCCGCAGCCCCGTCCGGAGCCCGGCCGCCGGTGCCGCCTTCCACCGCTCCACCGAGGACCTGCGGATGCGGCAGAGCGCGAGCTACGGCCGCCTGCGTAAGCCAAGGAGGGTGCTGGGGAGGTGGAAACAGGCCTGAAAGAAGCAGGGAGATGAAAATCAACTTGTAATTCCATGGGGATCCCCCCCAGCCATCAGCGAGGTGGAGTTTGTGTAGCCACAGGGTGGCTGGTATCAAACTCATGTTCTTGGGTTTTCATCTCACTGCACCTGGTTTGCAAGCTTAGCTCTAATAAATAGTATGCTTTTTACCCACATTGAATCCTCCCACTAAGTTTTCACCTTGCACAGGGGGCAGGAATTCAGCTGTGCATCAGTCGATAGGTTTTCTCACCTTTGAAGACAGGCTGAGAACATTGGGGCTGTTCAGCCTGGAGAAGAGAAGATGCGTGGAGACCTCAGAGCAGCTTCCAGTGTCTGAAGGGGGCTACAAGGATGCTGGGGAGGGGCTCTTCATCAGGGACTGTAGAGATAGGACAAGGGGTGGTGGGTTCAAACTGAAACAGGAGGGATTTAGTTTGGAGCTCTTCCCTGTGAGGGTGCTGAGGCGCTGGCACAGGGTGCCCAGAGAAGCTGTGGCTGCCCCATCCCTGGCAGTGCTCAAGGCCAGGTTGGACACAGGGGCTTGGAGCAAGCTGCTCCAGTGGAAGGGTCCCTGCCCATGGCAGGAGTTGGAGCTGGAGGAGCTTTAAGGTCCCTTCCAACCCAACCCATTCCATGATTCTCTCTCTCATCTCCATCAGGTCACGCACAGAGTCGGAGCATGAACGACATCTCGGACACACCGAGCACCGACCAGGTAATCACCCCAAAACCATTAGTGTGAGGAGCATCTCGAACGTGGAAGGGACCCTGTGGTTGTGAAGGTCCATGTGAGCCTTGCGCAGCTTCACTCGGTCGATAATCACATAAATTCCTAATTAGGGAAATGAATCCATGTATTGATCCCCACTGACTCATGGGGAAGCTGTCCCAGATATAATACCTGTGCTTGTGAGTTGAACACAGAGAGGGACATGTGAGGATGCTGATGTAGCTTAAGAGTCTCAGGGTGGAGAAAACATTCCTTAAAAGCTCTAGGTAGGAAAGCAAACGTTCTTGGAAGAGTTTTGGGCTCCTGCAAAAGCCTTTGCTTGGCAGTTGGAGGGGATAAATCCCATCCAAGCACTCAGGACTGCAAACGTGGGTACAGCTCTTGAGACAGTGGTCTGTAAATAGAGGCAGGTTCCATTTTTCCCTCCATGATGGATTTTTTTGCCATGATGGATGTGAATTTAATCCATTGGGAGCTTTATCCCCCTGGTTTGCTTTAAACTGGAGAGCGGAGATGGAGCTCAGGCTGCTCAGGCAGTTTGTGGCCAGGTCTCTGCTTGGTGATGGATGGATCCATAGGGTTTGTGCTGTTCTGCTGGATGTCCCATTCCCATCAAGGCATTTGTTCTGGGAACTGCTGATGCATTCTATGGGCTTCGTTTTGTTTCTGTTTGTGTGGGATTTCAGCATAAACCTAAGGGAAAACTGAACACAGTGTATGATAAGGTTGGACAGCATTTTGAGCAATCTGGTCTAGTAGAAGGTGTCCCTGTCCATGACAGGGGGTTGGGACTGGATGAGCCTTAAGGTCCCTTCCAACCCTAACCAGGCTGGGATTCTATGATAACAGCTTGCTTTTCCCCAGGGATGCTTGCTGAGGTGATGTAATTTAGGGGGAAGCAAAGGATGGAAATCCATGTGTTGCTGGAAGCCATGGACATGCTAGGATACCAGGAAAGCAGAAGGTTTGCAGGGCACCTTCCAAAATCAAAACTCTTCATAAACCAATCGAACTGCCCCAAACGAACCCCAAATCTCAGCCTCCAGCAGTGGGGTGCAGAGGGTTAATCCCAAAATATGCAAAGCATTTAGGTTTAATCACCCTATTAGACCCACTACAAAGGGACTTTTTAAGTGTTACATGAAGCTTAGTGGTCACTGTTAACTCCTGCTCTTGCTTGTTCCAAATTGGAGGAGTTGCTTTATTATTATGATTTTTTTCCATTTGGGTTTAAAAGATTAGAAAGGGGAGTGCTTGCTGCCCAGCTCACATGCCTCCCCTCATGCTGGCATATAGATTATAATAACACCCTGCCTGGGTTGGTATTGAACCCTTTTAAACTAATAATGAAAGAGCTGCAGGGGAGAAGAGACCCAGGGAGTAAATCCATGCGTGAGGTTTCCTACTTCCATCATTTATTCCTGCTCGGAGGATGAGATTGAGGAGGAAAGAGCTACAAAAGCATCCCCCGTGCACAGCATCCATTGGTGTTTCTGCATTGGATAGGGAAGGTTGGGGCTGCAGGCTGCAGATGGACTTGCAGAAATGCAGGGATCCTCATTTTTTGGCAACGAATTCCATGGGGTTTTCCTTGTGTAGCACCTTCTGCAATCCACCCAGTTGCATGTCCTACCAGGGAGCTCCAGGTGTGTAGTTTCAAGTTAATCTTGGGCTTAGTGGTGGTTTGGAGTAATGAAGAAATAGAGCTTGATGAATCCTTGCTGGTTCTTGGGCATGGCTCTTAAATCCCACCTCTGGGAGTCCTTGGACTATCAGAGATGAAGAAGTCTGAGCCTCTGGCTTCAGCTTTTCATTTGCAGTGTGGAAAAGGGGGGGAAAAGGTAAATTTTGGCAACCACTCCCATCCCCAACCTCGTCTTTCCAACAGCTGAAGAACAAGTTCATGAAGAAGATCCCCAAGGACGCAGAGGCATCCAATGTGCTGGTGGGAGAAGTGGAGTTCCTGGAGAAGCCCTTTGTGGCTTTTGTGCGGCTCCTCCAAGCGACGATGCTGGGAGGGGTGACAGAGGTGCCAGTCCCCACCAGGTAAGCACAATGCCTTTGGGTCCAAAGTGGTCTCATGACGCAGATGGTGGTGGCCTGAGGTTGCCAACATTGGTGCTTTTCCCTCCCCAGGTTCCTTTTCATCCTCCTTGGTCCTGCGGGAAAAGCCAAATCCTACAATGAGATAGGCAGAGCCATTGCGACTCTCATGGTGGATGATGTGAGTAGATGCATCACGCAGGCCTCACCAGCAACCCTATTGCCCTGTCTCCCCACCAAATGAGCTTTAAAATCCCATAATAGCATGGGACATGTGTACTGGATGCTGTTCCCAGGTTGACACCTCTCCTCTCTTGACCCCCAGCTCTTCAGCGACGTTGCCTACAAAGCCCGGGATAGAGAAGACCTGATTGCTGGCATCGATGAGTTTCTGGATGAAGTCATTGTCCTGCCGCCCGGAGAGTGGGACCCCAACATTCGGATCGAGCCACCCAAAAAAGTGCCCTCAGCTGAGAAGAGGTGGGTGGGAGATGTGGGGCTGGAGCCAACCCTGTGGCCATCCCCATCTCCTGGTTTGGAGATGCTGGAGCACAGCAGCTTTGTTTGCCTTCGTCCCTGGATATAATCCCTGCAGGTGTTCCAGAAATGCTGCTTTTTCAGCACTTTTTCCCCCCAGAGCAGCACAGAGCTGTTTGCACCTTTGTGCTGGGAAAATCCAGCTCTTGATCTTTCCACATTCACCCCAAACCCTAAGCTCTAATGAAGGCAGAGAACTACATCATGGCCTTGGTTATGGGCTCTGCATCAAGACTGGGTTGGTAGGGCAGGCGCATTGGCCAACGCTGATGGCTCTTTTCCCCCAGGAAATCAGTTTTCTCCCTGAATGAAGTGGGGCAGATGAATGGCACTGCTGGTGGGGCAGGCGCTGGGGCCAGTGGAGGAGGCAGCGATGATGGGGAGATGCCTGAAGTTCATGAAATCGGGGAAGAACTTGCATGGACCGGCAGGTGAGCAGCACCCCAACACCCAAAACCCATCAGCTCACCCTGTGGTCTCAGAGGCATGGAGGGGTGAAATCCTTTTGGGCACAGGGCACTGGTCCTTCGTGGTTTCTTCTCAGGTTTTGTGGTGGCCTCTATCTGGATATCAAGAGGAAGCTGCCCTGGTTCCCAAGCGACTTCTATGAAGGCTTTCATATCCAGTCCATCTCTGCCATCTTGTTCATCTACCTGGGCTGCATCACCAACGCCATCACCTTCGGAGGCTTGCTTGGGGATGCTACAGACAACTACCAGGTAAAGTCCAAGGAGAGGGGGTCACTTTGGCTTGGGGACAGTGGGATGGGATGGGATGGGGTGGGGTGGGGTTTACCCTCCTTGTGCCATGCCAAGCTTTAATGCTGGAGATGGAAATTCATTGCCAAGTGGGACTGGCGGTCCTGAAATACCTACACAAGGGGAAAACCCATCTCAATGGCAATGCCCAGGAGCAATGGGACATAGTCCCAACCATCCTATACAGATCCAAGGAGAGATCCTTAGTTCCCACCTCTATCAGTGGGGTAATGGTGGCACAGCATCACCACAATGCTGGCTTTGATCCATCCCCAGGGTGTCATGGAGAGCTTCCTCGGCACGGCGATGGCAGGCTCCATGTTCTGCCTCTTTGCTGGGCAGCCGCTCATCATCCTCAGCAGCACCGGCCCCATCCTCATCTTCGAGAAGCTGCTCTTTGACTTCAGCAAGTAGGTGCTGGGAGATGCCAGGGGGAACTGGGAGCCATCTGTACTGGGATTTGGGCTGTTCTCCAGCCCACAGCGTGCTCTCACAGGGCTGCTCTTCCCTTGTTCCCACTGTCAGAGGCAACGGCATTGACTACATGGAGTTTCGCCTCTGGATTGGCCTCCACTCTGCCCTCCAGTGCCTTATACTGGTGGCCACCGATGCCAGCTTCATTATAAAGTACATCACCCGCTTCACAGAGGAAGGCTTCTCCACCCTCATCAGCTTCATCTTCATCTATGATGCCATCAAGAAGATGATCGGAGCCTTTAAGTACTATCCCATCAATTCGGACTTCAAACCGGACTACGTGACCATGTACAAGTGCGAGTGCATTGCTCCTGACCCAGGTGAGTACACATCTGTTTTTTGGGGAAAGATGAAGGGGTTTGGGGTCCTGCTGTGAGTAAATCCCACTGGATCATTGGCTGAGGACATGGAAGGAGGCAGCTGCCTGGTCAGCATGGGGTAGAAAGACCTTGTCCCCCTCCTCTGAGGGTTGTTTGGTGCAAGATGGAAGTAGAGCCTTGTACCCCATGGATGGAAGCATTGGTGCTTGTCAGGACACAGCAAATGGTGCTGGAGAACTGGAGGCTCAGCCTGGAGCAGCCAGACCTAGATGGATAAAAAAGAAATATGGGGAAAAAAAAGGACATTTTGGATCATTCCAGCCCGCTGCTGATGAAAACATCTCCAGAAAATAAAACCAGAGGGATTTTGTCCTCTCCGGGGTCTGCGACACCCCAGGATGTCCCATTGGGTGCAGAAACCTCCTCGGACTGTTTTCCTTCTCTTTCTCACTCCTTTTCATAAAGGAGAGGCCGCTGAGCTCGGAGCAGATGGTATTTTGATGGCTCCCCTGATTTTGCTCTTGGATAGATGCACTGGATGATCCCCCACCCGAATTGTGAAGCTCAGATTCTCCTATGGCCACCTGGAAAGGAGCAGAATCTTTGCTTTGGTCTGATGACAATGACCACTTCCTAAAAGCTGGGTTTAGCTACAAAGTCTAAATGCTGGTGCTTTTGGGGAGTATCAGCCGCAGACAGGGGAGGCAGAGTGGTGTGATAGTGGATTTCTCACCATCAAGAAAAGCATCCAAGACCTGCCATGCAGCATGTTCCCAATACATCCATCGCTGCAAGAAGAGATCTTACCCTCCAGGATGGGAATACATTTATGGTTGAATGTTGTATTTCCCCTTGATTTCTGTTCATCAACCACCTGCTGAACAACCTGATCCCGTTGGGTTTGGAAAACCCTGCACACAGTAGAGACAACACAACCCTTCCCAAACCAAAACCCTCCCACATCTGACCTGCAGGAAAGCAAAGCCTTGATGCCGAATTCCCAGGGGACCAAACTATCCCAAACAGGACAGTGACCACTTCCATCCATCCACATGGATGAAGATGAAGCCTTTAGCCTCCAGGGAGGTCTCCCCCTTTTCCAAACCCCATCCCAAGCAAACCCCAGGCTGCCAAGAGGCATTTGCAACCCAGAACATGAAGTTTCTTTGCAACCCGGCCCTACTCCTTGCCCTTGCTACCCTGGGCACCCAGAGCAGTGGTATCCACATTGGATTTTCCATTCCTTTAGCTCTTGAGATACGATATTTATTCCCCCAAAAATCCCCCTTTTTTTAATCTTTTTTAATCAGTTCTGATTTTTTATTATTATAACTGATTTGTCCCATATTTGTCTCTGCTGCACACATCAATTTGGGCTGATTTCAATCTCAAGTGAGTATCGCCTTCTAAATATTAAAACTCTTGTAATCTCTGATACTCTTCCCCCATAGGGAGGTTTTGCTGTTCTATTTTTTCCCCATGTATTTAGCTTTTCTCTCTGCTCTGCTAAGAGGGATTCTGTAGAGCTTTGGAGCCCTCTTTTACCATGCTACCAATGGGATGCTAGCCTTTAAGTTGTAGAAGTCACAAATAAGGCTGGTTTCTGGTAAAGTAAAAGGTTATGGATGAATAATAATAATAAATAATAAGAAATAATAATAATAGTAATAATAATAATATAATGATGATAATTCTGTTTCCTGGGGCCTGGTTTTGGCAGCCCTAGGTCTCTGTGTCTAACCCAGCAATCGCTTCTCCTTCATCAGTCCTCTACGCCAGGGATGGAGGCATCAGGTTGGGGCAGCCAAAATTCCCACATGGCACAGGAAGAGGATGGAGCAGAGGGAAGAGGGTGGGCAGAATGGTCCTGGACCTTGCTTAGGGGCACCCCTAAAGAATGTGGGTGCTCCTGAAGCTGCAGAGCTGCATCACCCGGAGAGCTGCGGAGCTGCTTTTTGCACTGGAAGCGAAGGTGCCGGGGGGTAGAAATGATGGAGATTTTTGCAGTGAGACACCAAAACACCCCTAAAATACTATAAAACCCCCAAACAACCCCAAAATGACAAATGTCAACAGCAAATTGGCCATAATTGGGTGCTGCCTCCCAAAAACAAGGCTGCTTTTCCAGTCTAACCTCCCCGGTTTGAAGATGCGGGTGTTGGGATGCTGGTGGCTTCCTCAGGAAGCTCCTTTAAGCTCAAGGAGCTGGGAAGCTCCTAAAACGACTTCCACCACCCCCAGGCACTTGCCAGCCCTGGAAGCAGAAGGTGATGAAGGAGAATCCGTGTTCTCCACTGGCGCATGGGATTAATCAGGGAGAAGTGGCTGTGGGGTTAGAACCAGGGGGGTTTCTCCCCACATCCCGGTCTGCCCTTGGGATGCTGATCCCTGTGTGGCTCTTGGAGGATGTGCTCGACCCCACATTTGCTTTGGCACCGGCTGGGCTCAGCTGGGCCTCTCCGGGTGAAGCCCGGCTGCTTTGAGTGCCATAACCTCGATATTAGCCAAAAACCTCAATAACAAACTCCTTTCCCGCAGCCAATGCGACCTTGTTCGATGCTTCAGCTCCAGTGGCACCAAACACCACTAATGTTTCTCTGGTAAGCGAATTCAGTCATCCTGATGGGAAATGTGGGGACAAGGGAGGGTTTGCGCATCCGGGGAGCGAGGCGTGCTGGCTTGGAGTGAGGGAAATGCAGGATTCACATTGCTTTGGGTTCATGGCTCAGCTCAGCAGCACCAAATCCCCACTGTTTTCACCCAAATTACTAAGCAGCTCCAGGATTTTCCTGTGGGTTTGGGGTTCCCGGTGGCAGGAAACTGAGAATACCCTTTTCCTTTGACTTAAAACCCTAATTTTGCTCTTTTTGGCTGGGAAATCCCCTCTCCCCTGCACACCACAATTCCCTAAATGGTTAATTTTGCTTTTTGGGCCAGGAAATGCCCCTTTCCCGGCCCACTGCAGTTCCCTAAAACACTAATTTTGCTGTTTTTGGGGTTTTCTCCCCAGTACAATGCTATTAACCTCACAGCTCTGGACTGGACTCAGCTCAGTAAGAAGGAATGTCTCAAATACGGTGGCAGCTTAGTAGGGAAATCCTGTAAGTTCGTGCCTGACCTGGCCCTGATGTCCTTCATCCTCTTCTTTGGGACCTATTCCATGACCTTGACCCTGAAGAAATTCAAGTTCAGCCGCTATTTCCCCACCAAGGTAAGGGAAATGCCAAGTTTTACCTCCTCCTTTTCCAAAAGGGAGGAACAATGGGAGCTGGTGGTCTCCTTGCTGGATGCAAAGAACTCCAGGAAAAGAAACCCCTATTTCTAGATGTTGGTAGAGATTAGGGGAATCCTTCCTTAGTTGGGATCCTTCTGGCTGCTGATTTGGCTCTTGCATGCTGAATAACCCATTCCCGAAGGGGAAAAACGTCTGCATTTTGACAGTGATACCCAGGTTATCCGTGAATGAGCAGAGCTGGAAGGATGCTCAGGGAAGGATGCTGAAGCAGGAGCAGAACTCCATCCCATTAATAACTCTCTCCATCCCATTAATAACCCTCAGCATCCCATTACTTACCCTTTCCACCCCCATTTCCCTGTCTTGCTTCCAGGTCAGGGCTTTCATTGCTGATTTTTCCAATGTCTTCTCCATCCTGATCTTCTGCGCTGTGGATGCCTGTTTCGGACTGGACACCCCTAAGCTCCACATCCCCAGTATCATCAAGGTTCGACTGCTCCTCACCTCTCCATCCACACTCTCTTTCCAGCTTCTCAATAGTTTTGGGGATAAAACGTGGCTCCTGCAGTGTCCAGGCACCTTCTTAGAAGCTACTTTGTCTTTTCCGAGGGAATATTCTAATTCTGTGACTTCTTTTCCTTCTGTTTTTCTTTTCCTTCCCTTTTCTCTTTCATTCTTGGCAGCTGCGTAAACTTATTAGTGATTTCTCTATCTTTATGTCCATACTAATGTTTGTGGGGCTGGATGTGCTTTTCGGACTCAACACCCCAAAGCTCCAAGTGCCTACTGATTTTAAGGTAAAATAAACCCCCTTTAGAGTAAAACACTGCCCAAAATGTCTTTACCCCCTGCCCTCAGTATTGCTGTGGACGATGTAGGGAGTCCCAGTGAGCATCAAGGCAAAGTCTAGGGTTGAGGCATGTGGATGCTGGGGGCGGTTTGGGTACCGATGCGTGGTGGTGGGATTCTGGGGTGGATACAGAATCATGGAATCAAGCAGGTTGGAAAAGAGCTTTAAGCTCATCAAATTCAGCTGTTCCCCAGCACTGCCAAGGCCACCACTGCCCCATGGCACTGAGGGGGTGTGAGCACTTGCAGGGACCCTGCCCTGGGCAGCCTGTTCCAATGCCTGAGCACCCTCTGGGGCAGGAATTGTTCCTCAGCTCCATCTAAACCTGCCCTGGTGCAGCTTGAGGCCAGTTCCTCTTGTCCCATCCCTTGTTCCTTGGGACCTGATCACCAGGACAGGACGATGCTCAGAGGCGATGGGGCTCAGGGTGATGTGGGGCTTCCCAAAGTGTCAGTGTTGGGATTTCCTCCCTCTGGGCTCAGCCATGGTGTCCAACCCTCTTCTCTTCCCTCCCCAGCCCACCCGTGTGGACCGAGGGTGGTTTGTGTTTCCCTTTGGGAAGAACCCGTGGTGGGTTTACCTGGCGAGTGCCCTGCCTGCCCTCCTCGTCACCATCCTCATCTTCATGGACCAGCAGATCACAGCCGTCATCGTCAACAGGAAGGAGCACAAGCTGCGGGTGAGCCGGGACTCGTCCCACGCTGGGGGACCCAGCATCACTTTGCGTACTGCCTGCATCCCTGCGAGCATCCGCTTTTGGGTGCTGCTGCAAGGCACAGGGGGGTCACCCTGCCCATGCAAAGCAGGAGCTCTCCCTTTCCTTTCAAGCTGTATTTCTGGGGTGACAAAGCCTCCAGGGTGTTAAATTCATCCGATGTGGTGTGATGGGGGGATATGGGGTGTGCTGCAGCAGAGCAGGGTGCAGCATGGCAATGTAGGGTGCATCAGGGGAATGTATGAGAGCAATGTGGGGTGCTGCAGGGTGCGCCATGGCAATGTGGTGGGGTGCATCAGTACAAAGTGGATTGCATGAGGGTGATGCTGGGTGGTTTAGGGTAGCATGGGGTGACACCAGGTGCACTGTGGGGTTCATGAGGATAACGCAGGTTGCTTCAGGATGACTTGAGGTGTTGCAAGGGTGTGCTGTGGCAATTGGGGGTGCATCAGGGTGATGCATTGTGTATGAAGCAAAGTGGAGTGCTTCAGGGTCATGCAGGGTGCACCTTGGCAATGCAGGGTGCATGAGGGTGATGGAGGGTGCTCTGCAGTGATACAGGATGCTTCAGGGTGATGTGGGATGCATCGATGCAATCTGAGGTGCATCACAGCAATGATGGGTGTACCAGGGTGGTGCAGGGTGCACTATAGCAATGTGGGGTGCCTCAAAACAATGTAGTGTGCACCATAGCACTGTGGGGTGCATCAGGATGATGCAGGGTGCACCGTAGCACTGTGGGATGCCTCAAAGCAATGCAGCGTGCACCATAGCACAGTGGGGAGCATGAGGGCGGTGCAGGGTGCACCATAGCACAGTGGGGAGCATCAGGGTGATGCAGGGTGCACCATAGCACTATGGGTGCATCAGGATGCTGCAGGGTGCACCATAGCACTGTGGGGTGCATCAGGATGATGCAGGATGCGCCATAGCACTGTGGGGTGCATCAGGATGATGCAGGATGCACCATAGCACTGTGGGTGCTTCAAGGTGATACAGGGTGCTCTACCACAATACGGGGTGCATGAGGGCGATGCAGGGTGCACTATGGTGATGCAGGATGCTTCAGGGGGTGCATCACCGGGGAGCCCCCCCTTGCTGCTCCCTGGGGTGCACACAGGAACAGCTTCACAAGCCATGTTGCCCCCCCTGCCCCTCCCGGGTGCTGTGTTGCAGAAAGCCGCGGGCTACCACCTGGACCTGTTCTGGGTGGGCATCCTCATGGCCGTGTGCTCCTTCATGGGGCTGCCCTGGTACGTGGCGGCCACCGTCATCTCCATCGCCCACATCGACAGCCTGAAGATGGAGACAGAGACCAGCGCCCCGGGGGAGCAGCCCCAGTTCCTGGGTGTCAGGTGAGGAAGGCTCAGCCATGCTCTTCCTTGGGGTGAGGAGCCCTAATCCAGCATGGCCTCATCCTGCTCCTCTCATCGGTCCAGGGAGCAGAGAGTGACGGGCATCATCGTCTTTGTGCTGACGGGGATTTCTGTCTTCCTGGCCCCCATCCTGAAGGTAAAACGTTCATTCCCCTTCCCACATCCCTGCTCCCTGCCTGCAGATGGGGGAAGAGAAAGCTGGATTCTCCCACACCACCATAGTCTCCAGCATCCGTTCCCATATCCGGGAATGGGCTGCCACCTTCCCTGGGGTAAGCAGTGTGTTTCTCCCATATCCCCAGTACATCCCCATGCCGGTGCTGTACGGAGTCTTCCTCTACATGGGCGTTGCATCACTCAATGGCATCCAGGTGAGTGCTCCTCCTCCTCCTCTTCCTCCTTAGTGTCCATGAAGCAGCAAAACACAGGAATCTTGACCCCAGTATTTGGATGTCTCCAATATTCCAGGATGTGGGAGACAAGAGATACGTAAAAACGCCCAAGAAACATAAAAATTCCCCCAAATTCCCCTTTTGGGGGGCTAAAAGAGGGCTTCTCTGGGCAATGTGGGAGCCTTGGGAATAGGGCCAAGGGCTAACAGCAGCCTTCATCCCACCACAGTTTTGGGACCGCTGCAAGCTCTTCCTCATGCCGGCCAAGCACCAGCCCGACTACGTCTTCCTCCGGCACGTGCCGTTGCGTCGCATCCACCTCTTCACGCTGGTGCAGATCATCTGCCTGGCTGTCCTCTGGATCCTCAAATCCACCGTGGCTGCCATCATCTTCCCCGTCATGGTAAGAACAACCCCAGGCAGCTGCTGCGACCTCGGTTAGAATCATAGGATCCCAGGTTGGTTTGGGTTGGGAGGGACTTTAAAGCTCATCCAGTTCCAGCCCATCCTGTTCCACTGGAGCAGCTTGCTCCAAGCCCCTGTGTCCAACCTGGCCTTGAGCACTGCCAGGGATGGGGCAGCCACAGCCCGGTCCCATGGTGTTGCCTGGGTCTGGGGATGAAAGATGCTCTTGTGCCTCTCCCCTCCTATAGATTTTAGCCCTGATCCTGGTGAGGCGGCTGCTGGATTTTGTCTTCTCCCAACACGACCTGGCCTGGATTGACAACATCATCCCCGAGAAGGAGAAGAAGAAAGAGGATGACAAGAAGAAGAAGAAGAAAGGCAACAAAGGAGACAGCAGCAGCGATGAGGAGGTGGGTGAGCGGCTCCCGTGGATGGGGAGGACATCCTGGACCAGCCATGGGGGGAAAGGCCCCACCAAAACCTCCGGTTTGGTGGGTCTGGGATGAAGATCTTTTATTCATGGAGGTGTTTCACTGCATTTACTGACCGAGGGACTTTGAGTGATGCTTAGGGTATGGGCAGAGGCTCCAGGGAATGCTCCAACTGTCCTGAAAGCTGGAAAACCATGGAAAATACTTAAATCATTAGGAAGAAGAGCCCAAATCCCGTGGCTGAGGGAACAACATCCATTGTACGGTGGCAAAGCATCACTAAACCCCTCCTGCAGACCCTTTCCCAGGCACAAGAGCTGAGAGTGTGTTTGGGAAGAGGAAGGCAAAGCCTCCTCCTCCTCCTGCACCCACTCCTGGAGGTTCTGGGTCCCTTTGGGTGCTCCTGGAGCTCACTCAGGTGCTGCCTTCACCTCATTTCCCCACTTTCTTCCCCAGTTCCCACCTCCCTCAGTCATTGTGATCCCTATGGAGCCCCTGACAGCGCAGCCCCGAAATGGGGGTCCCCATTGCCTCAGCCATAAGTAAAGAGCTCAGGAGCCCTTCCTGCATTCCCTATTGCTTCCCAACCGCCCGCACCAGGATCCAATGGCACTAACACTGCTGAGAGACACAGCCTGGATCCATCCCGTTGGAGCAGGGAGGAGGGTTTGCTCTGTTCAAAGCAAGGGTGAGAGGATGCAGCAGGTTCAGTGCTGCTAATACCTTGTATTCCAGTGGCCAGGAAGCCAGGATTCTCCTTGATCTCCCCTGTGAGCCAATGCTGATCTATTGTTCTATCATATACATATATCTGGGAGGGGTTTGAGCCCTCAAAACCAGGGATGTAGAGCTCATGGTGGCATTACCCCAGCTGTGAGAGAGCAGATGTGTTCCATTTGGTTCAACAGCCTCAAGCATCACCCATGAGCTGGTGCAAAGCCAGCCATGACCAAAAGCAATGCAGGATAAAGCTGGATGACTCAGTTCCAGCTCAGCACCGGGATGCATCCTGGTGCCAGTAAGTTTGAATGCAATGATTCATGACTCTGCCCTCAAGCTGCTGCTTGCTGGGGCTGGTCGGGCCTTTCTCTTTGCTTAATCACCCCCAAATCAGCGTTACCCAGGAGCTTGCCTTCTCTCCCATTGCCTGGAGGATGCAGGACCTGGTGGCACCTGGAGGGAGGGTGAGGAGTGGGTTGTTGGGGGGCTCCTTCCTCACCTGGGAAGTGTTTCACCTCTGTGTCCCCCCTCCAGGAAAGAGGTCCTCCACCTGGAGCTTTGCGTTCTGATTCCTCCCCGAATGGTTCAGACCTGGATCGCAGGTAAATGGCACCAAATAGGGTCCCCCAACCTGCTCACCCACCCCAGGGAACCCCTGTGGGGAACAGTTTTGGAGTTACTGGATGGTGCTCCCGAGCAGGATTCCATGATTTTCACAACATCCCTCTGGTTTTGGGGTGTTTTTGTTTGCTGGCCCCAGCTATCGGGGATGTTGGGAGTGGGGTTGAGTGGGATGGAGCATCCCAAGCCTGACACCAGAGGTTTTACAGCACTAAAAACGCCACTTGGGCAACATCCACAGGGATTTTTAGGATTGAGATGTTCATCTAAATCCTGAAATCTTGGGATTATTCTCCACTTCAGCTGTATGTTGTAGTCTTGTACATATTAACAGCAAAACACCATATCTTTATGAGGTTTTACTGGTGGTAGCATCATCCTGTGGGTGCTGGGGTAGCTTTGGGATGGGAATACTCATTCCTGGATGCTCACTTCCCCGTCTCCTCCTCCTCCTCAGTATTACACTTCACCTGAAGATTTCATGCCCATCATCTCCTGCCTTTAACTACTCCCGAAGCCCCATCTGCACCGTGCCCCAGGTGAAGATAGAGATGGAGTCAGACTATGAGGACACTGACACTGAGAAACAGCCTCGGGACATGGGCAGTGAGACCACGCTATAACCCCACGCTGCACTCCTGCTGCCATTTATATATATATATAGATATTTCTATATTCATATATATATATAAAGCAAATTGGGCTTATTTTTCTATGTGAGAAGGAGACCGGTGGCCCCAGGGGTCTGTTGCTCTGGTAGTTTTTAGTGTCATGGGTTAAATGTGTTGTGGAATTTCCTCTCTTTCTGCTGGGCAAAGGCATCCCCACTGGTGGTGAAATGGGGCTGAAAAGGTGAAATGAGAGATTTTTGCCTCTACTCACTCCAGAGCTGGAAAAGCTGATGATGACTGGGACTGTGGGAGCATGTATGGGGAAGGGGTGATGGCTTTCAAGGGGGTATGGTGTGGGGAGGAAGAAGGAGCATGCATCCCTGCTTCCCAATCCCTGAAATCACAACACGGCTCTTGGGGAGTCTTGTTCCGTGAAGGAGATGGTGCATCAGGCTTTGTGTGGGCAGGAGGCCATCGGTCCAGGCCGTGGCAATGGGAATCCCTTCCTGTGGTACAGCATTCCCAATGTGGTAACAGGGATGCGGGAAGGATGCAGATGTGCTCGTGCCAGGGTGGATGGGGGTGAGGAGGCCTGGCAGGGTCAGAAAGGAGCTTTGGCCTGGTAAGGAAAGGAGGAAAAGCAGCTCAGGTTTAAGGTTGTTGCTGCTTGAAGGCAACACCAGTGGGGCTACGGAGGGAGAGCAGGGCAGGGAATGGGGCTTTGCTTGCTGCAGGGAATCAGAAATGGTTTCTGCAGGCAGTGGGGCATGGTTTCTACTGGAAAATGGGAATGGTGGCTGCAGTGAAGCTGTTTGGTCGCCCATCCCCGTGTCCTCACTGCAGCAGTCCCTGGCCCTGGGGTTGGTATCGGCTCTATCTCTTCCTCTGATGGCCAGGAGCAAGACATGTCCAAGCTGCTATCCCACTGGAGACGCATTCCTCCTCCCCCTGCTTTCAGGTCACATCCAGCAGCTTCCTGGTCAGTCTCCATTGGCATTTTGGCTCCACAAAGGGCTCTTCCCACCCGCTGCTGCCTTTGAGTCCTCTGGGAAAGGAAGGGAAGGAGTAGGTCAGGAGCTGGCACAGGCACCAAGCTCAGGTTGGCGCTGCCCAACTCTCTCCCCCTTTACCCAGCAGCACCAGGGTGGTGACAAGGCTCTTAAAGGGTGTTTTTCCTTCCATGGGCTAAGCCAGAACCACTCGTCTAAAGAACCCTCAAATCCATTTCCTTTACTCACGGAGTCTTTATTTTGCCTCTATTTCAAACCTCACAGAGCCCTAACACCTCCCCTGAGCAGAAACAGCCTCCCTGCTATTTATACCGGTCATACAGGGGGGCTGGGACCCCAGTTAAATATCTCAACTGGTCTGAACCTCGGGCAGATCCTGGTTCTCTGTAAATAGTTGAGTCCAACAACGACTTGAAGGCAATTTCCTATTTATAGCCCTTTTTGTTCTGGTTCAGGTACACCTCCTGGCGAGATGTGGCAAGATAAATAACTCAGTATTACTCCTGGCACTGCTTAAAGCAAGAGCCACGTAGCGCTGACGTTAAAGAACTATTTCAACTTGAGCACATCGTGTCTCTTGTGTAGCGTTTTTGTACTCCTGTGTGGTAGCTGAAGCGTGGTACAGGTAGGCTTAAGGTTTTAATCAACCAGGTTAATTTGCTTTATTCAGTCCATCAGCTCCAAAAAAGCTTTGTGGATGCTGGTAGGTGTTTCCAAGAGCAGAGCTGAAGCCCCTCCAGCATCCAGCTTGACTGAATTGGTCCATTTTACATGGTTCACACGTGGGTTAATACTTTTTGTATATGAAAAAGCAGAGCATCTCAGACTTACTCCCTTGCTGCTGTACCACTGTAGTCATTTTGTATTTATCGGTGATACAACCCAATAAACCTCGTTTCAGTGAGTCTCTGTGTGTTACTGGTGCAGAGCCCTTCAACCTCGGTTTCCTTTCCCCATATTCAGTGTTTTTCTCAGTGCTTTTCCCTGTAGAAGGTTAGTTTCTTCCCCAGGTGCCTCCAGCAACAGCTCTTTAGCATCACAACAAGCCTTTCCTGGTCCTGGGAAGATGGGATCAGCCTTTCCAGGGAATATGTGAAGAGGAAGGAGTCTATGACTTGAGTGAAGAGGAAGGAATCCAAGACTTACCTCACTGCCCACAGATACACATGCAAGTAGTTTTCCATCCTGCCCAAGGCACTGCAACCTCAGGTAAGGTTAATGTTCAGTGGGTAATTACAGCTTGCAAACTACTCATTAGGAGGGTGAAGTTTATACTGTCCTGTTAGGAAACAGAGTCAGGAAGCAGAAGGGGCTTTGTTCAGGCATGAAAGTACAAGATTTTCTTACTTGTGCATCAGGTTGATGTGTGGAGCAGTTGTGTCTCAGCTAAACTAAGGGAGAAACCAGACCTGACCCTGCTCTGGAGGGAGCTCAACCCATAAGTGCTTTAATAAACCACTTCTGGGAGAACTGGGAGACTTCAGAATAATCCTAGGACACAAGCAGGGCCTTTTTACCTTACCACACTTTATTTAGAGCCAGCCTGCATCATTCACTAAGCACTTGCAACACTTTACAAGAGCCCAGGCAGCCTCCTGTGTGCCCAGGGAACACACACCAACAACCCCATCTTGTTCTTTGGTTAGAAAAAAAAGGCTTTAAAAAGTCACCATCCAAATAGCAAAACCAAAATCCAGCTTAGCCGCACACTAATAACATGTTACAACAGATCCACCACTGCCCAGGGCCCTGCAGAGGCTGAGGACAGAGATATGGCTTTTCATTTTATCTTCTTCAAGTAACTTCCCTTACAGAAGAGCTTAACTCACACTAAACATCCAGCATTGAGAAGACCTCAGCATGAGTCAAACACCAGCAGACTGAGCATTTTGTGAGGACAGGACCACAAAGCTGTTGCTTTTGCACTATGGAGCAGTGCTCTATATCCCATGGGATTGCTAACGCCACGCTGAGCTCCCAGGATCCTAATCCCAGCCCTGCAAGAGCAGGACTAGCTCCCAGAAGAGCTCACTTAACTGTAAAGCAGCTTTGCTAGCACGAGTAGGCCAGGAGTGTAGATACTCACACCTTCATACAACTAACGTGCATGTGCTTCAGCTTCCAGTAAACATCTATGACCCCAGATCAGGAAATTCCACTTCCAATACAATAAATACATTGCATTTTCTTCTCTCGGCCTGCCTGGGAGTCAGTTTGGAATGTCATGCTCAGGGCTAAGCAGAGCCCCGTTATACTGTTAATGCTTGCAGCTCTTTGGGTTTCAACAGCTTCTTGGCAGCGATGATGGTGTTCTTCATCAGCATGGCAACAGTCATGGGCCCAACTCCCCCTGGGACGGGGGTGATGTAGCTGGCTTTCTTCTTCACCCCTTCAGGAAAGGAAGACAGGAGCACATGAATCAGCAACGCTTCCCAAGCTGGCTGGCCAGCATGAAGCTGTGACCAGTCTAACATCAGCAGGGGGGTTGGAACTGGATGATCCTAAGTTCCTTTCCAACCCAAACCAGTTTGTGATTCTAGGACCAGCTAAAGAATAGGAGTTTCTCAAGGCGGACTTTTCCCCACACCAAACTGTCCATCCCTGCTACTGCCCAAGCTTAAATGCAAAGCCCAAGCTGGGGGCAAAGCAAAAAGCAAGGTCTAACAGCTGGATTTCTAGCACAGAAATATCAAGTCCAAGACTAGATGTGGGCTTCAGAATTGTTCCTGGAGGCAACCACAGTAAAGAACTAACAAAACTTCAACCTTTTCCCTCTCTTGTTCTTCCAGGAGGAGATCCCTGGTGTTTCAGCAGGCAGCTGCAGGCACGGGGCTCATCACAACAGCATGTTGGACACTACAGTGGTGAACAGCAGCCAGAGGGTGAGTTCTGCAATCTCTCCAGAAAGGAGTTTGTAGTGAGGTGGGGGTGGTCTCTTCTCCAAGGAAGAGGTGACAGGACAAGAGGAAATGGCCTCAAGCTGCATCAGGGCAGGTTTAGATGCAGATGAGGAACAATTCCTTCCCCAGAGGGTGCTCAGGCATTGGAACAGGCTGCCCAGGGCAGGGCTGCAGTCACCATCCATGGAAGTGTTCACACACTGTGCAGACAAAGCCCTCAGTGCCATGGGTCAGTGGTGGCCTTGGCTCGGGAACAGTTGGACTGGATGAGCTTAAAGGTCTTTTCCAAACTAGTTGATTTTATGGCACAATATTGGATGCAGCAAGCAAGGGAACGCAAGCATTCGACTGCATCAGCTCAGTCACATCAATCAGTACCTCCTCCTCCGCACCATAAACGTTCAATGCTCAAGAAACCAGCCACAGCCTTTCCATACCTTCAAAATCCACATCTCCAACCAGCCTGGGCTTGGCAGTGATGGGATCCTGCACTCTGGTTATTCCCACATCAATAACTGCAGCTCCTTCTTTGATCATATCAGCTGTGATCAGATTGGGAATGCCTGCAAGGGATGACAGAATCACAAACTCATGGTGGAGCTCAGTATGTTCCTCTCACCCTCTGTTCACCTTCTTTTGACCCACCTGGGTCTTCCTTCCTCACAAAACAGTTGGACTCAATCTTAAGGGACTTTTCCAACCTAAATGATCCCACAAAATGCATTTCTACATCCAGCTCCACAACCCAGAGCTAGTGATGTTTGGTCAGGAATGTGAACAGTTTACTGATAACCTCAGAGCTGGAATTCACCCCCAGGAAGAGTTCTGGCAGAGCAACTGGAACCAAAGCATCCTCTCCAAGCCAAAACCCTAAAGCTTGCATTTGAAAGTCTGTGGCTGTGTTTGTTCATGCAGCTCCAGCAGTGTTTTCACCCCTGCACTAAGTCAGCAAGTTGAAGCAGTGTCCAAGGCCACCACAGTTCACTGGCTTCTTCCTGGGGCTGTAAAACCCACAGCCTGACAGGGAGATAGGGGTGAGAGCAGCAGCTTGCAGCTAAGCCACGCTTTCAGGTTAAGAGTGTGTTTATCTGGTCCTGCCAGATACTGCTGCCTCAGGACTGAGCTGGGAGCTTACTCCACTCTTGCTTAGTTAACTCTTCCACACAAGCCTTCCTCTGCTCTGCCACCCTTTGATTATGAACGCGTCCTACTTGCCAGCAGGACTTCTGCCATCAGGACATGCACTGACACCTCCAGCACCACTCCTTATCCTTCCAGCACCTTGTCTCCATACATAATTTCCAACCCACGTTTTCTCTCCTCCCTCCCCACAGGCTCCCACACAGACACCCCAAACCAGCTGAAAGGCCCTGCTGATGAGCTGCCTCCATGCCAAGGGAACAGCCTGGAGAGGAGTACACACCTCCGAGCAGTCCTTGTGCTCTGAAGACAGCACAGCATCTGTCCCTCAGCATTTGACTGTCTCTAGGTAAGCAGATCCTATCTTGGCATTATTTTCCCTCCTCCCACAGAAATACAGAGCTGTCCACATGTATATCCGCCTGTCTATAGCTGTTCTCTAGATTTGATCAGGTGTTGGCACACCAAAGCCTTCCTGCCAGATGTTATTTTGCATTTCCAAAGGCTCCAAGCAGCTCTGCTTCTAAGAACAAGAGTGTGAATCCTGTGGTGAAGGCCTGGAGCAACTGATTGGCTCAAAGAGCCCCTCACTTGAAGTCCTCACCCTCAGCACCTTGTCTGTGCTGTAAGAGTCAGGTCTTACCTGCTGCTGCTACCACAATATCAGCACGGATAGTGTGTTGCTTCAGCTGCTCCTTGGGAGTGTAGCGGTGGGATATTGTGACTGTGGCATCACCTGCAAGAGGGTGGATACATGGAGCTTTAATTCACATGTAACGCCCAAACCCAGCCACATCTCTAGATCTTCCCCTTTGAGACACACGTGTGTTTATCAGGAACAACATCAGAGCCTGAAGGAACAGGCTGTTTCCCAGGGAACAGCCTCCAAAGTCAGAGGGAGGTATGTGGCATGGAAGAGGACAAGGAGTCACTGAAGAAGGCTCTGAAGCATCACAAGACTTACAGGCTGAGAGCACTGGGCTGGTTCATCCTGGAGAAGAGAAGGCTCCTTAAGGGGAGACCTTAGAGATTGCCCCCATCCCTGGCAGTGTTCAAGGCCAGGTTGGACAGGGCTTGGAGCAAGCTGCTCCAGTGGAACGTGTCCCTGCCTGTGGCAGAGGGGTGGAACTGGATGAGCTCTAAGGTCCCTTCCAACCCAAACCATTCTAGGATAACTATGCAGAAAGTTAACTCCTCAGCCTTGACGACAGCGGATGTGATGGGCCAGAGTCCCTAAAGTGTTCCTGGGACCACTTTCAGGGCCTCAAGAGGACAGTGTGACATGCAGAAGGCTTCCTTCTGCAGCTGCCTGGCACATGGGCTCCAAGGCCACCAACCTCCTACCTCCTGGGCGCTCGTGCCTGCCATCTGTATGCAGCAACATGGCAATGGGCATGCCCACGTTCTTCGACCTGCCAGCCACCACCACGTTCTTCCCCAGCGTTGGGATGCCTGCAAAGGGGAAAGTGGAGTCTTAAAACAAAGACAAACTGGAGTTACACCAGACATCAGCTAAATACTGCAGCAGTAGCAACTTACCAGTTCTCTTAATGATCTCCCACACTCCCCAGGGGGTGGCTGGCAGCATGGAGTACTGATCAAGGCACATGCGCCCCACATTTATCACATGAAAGCCATCAACATCTTTGTCTGGACTCACAGCATTGCAAATCTTGCGTTCATCAATATGTTCTGCAAGAAAACAAAAAGCTTGAACCCTAGGGATCAGCCAAGAAGCTGCTTTTTGCAGTCAGCCAGCGCCCTGACCTGCTGCACCAGCTCCTTGGGTTTGGAGCCTTGAAGCTGCTCAAGATTTCCAGCAAGCACAAGGCTACAGCTCCCAGCAGAAGGGGACTGGAAGCACT